AGATATTAAATAATAATACTGTACTGTTTTCCCTAATTTATTGTTAGCATCTTCTCCATTGTTAGATTTAAAGAAAATCTTGAAAAATAACTAAATAAAACTGCCTTAAAATAATACATTTATTTTAAAAATCTTACCCAGTACTCCTGTAATATGAGGGGTTAGGAAAGAGTACTCTAATGCATCCTCTCTACATCTGACTTCCATAGTACAATATGTGCCATTGAACCTGTATCTGAAGACACTTGATGCCAAAATATAAATCATTGCTAATACTTTTTGGGTTTGGGGTTGGGTTTTTTTGGTAAAACCTCATTTAGAATGAGAAGGGGAACAATCTGTGTGTATTAAATTGTTTTAGAGTATTTTCTGAATGGGCTGGACATCAGCCACACTTTTGTTTGGATTACAGATGTGTTTTGAATGTATGTGCTGGAAAGATTTAAGAGTGGATTCGGTGGCTACAAAGTGATAATATCAGTTTAAAGCAAGTGTGGAGAAGCATCAGGCAGGTTTCTAGAGAATGCTGTGCCAGTGAATCTCACCCTGTCCTGCAGTTTTCCAGCTATTGTAGTTCCAAGCTACAAATGATATGAAAATATCGTTAAAATTTTGGACTATTTGATATCACTAAGATCTCCTAAACTGTGATGTGCTAATACATACTAAAGTTGCGTTCAGAACCCCAGAAAAGAGCAGACTCTTTTTTTCTTTAGTTTATCATGTATGTCATCTTGTAAAAAAAGTGCAATAATGTAGTTTCTTCCTTAGCATACTGTTTTATGTCATCTCCTGGAAGAACTAACCTCCTATTTACAGGCCTTACGTGGTAAATAAGGCATATTAATGGATTGTCGTGCATTTCACCAGTTTTAATCTTTTCTGCTATGCCTTGACTATCTTATGGTGCTAAAACAATAACTTCACACTTCTGCAGTGGTGTCATATGGTACCATGCAACATAAAAGCTGGAGTTATACATATCAGCTGCCAACAGTGGTGCTTTTTCTTTAGGATCTTGATTGCAAGTACTAAAGGGTTGTCATGTCACTAAACCAAAAATTATTGTAGGGAAAAAAATCATGAGGCTCCAGGAAAAGTTCCCTGTGCTTTTAATGTGTATTCTTATGTTTCTCCATATGAAGCTCAAAGCTTTGCAGTATTAGTGCGTCTAACATGTAAAATTCATTATGGTAAATCTGTATAGCTGAATTTAAAATTATGACATTAAGTATAACTAGATCTAGTGTAAACTGAAAGTTTTAGTTCCTTGATAAACATGAAGGTCATCTGTACTACTAAGAGAAAAATAGGTGCAGATTAATGCCTTCAAGTAATGTATTTTATTTTTAGACAATGCATTATAATAAGCGGAAGGTGAAAAAATATTTTAGGGTCTTCTGCCCTAGCATCTTTTTTAATCATTCTAGATTTGGAGCCCATTTTTGGAAATTACAAAGTATCTTATAACAGGCACCAAATCCCTTCAGCTGAGAGTCAAGCTTTATGTAAGGCTTTGGGGGATAATCAAGATGCATAATGTAAGAGGGGTCTTACATTCTTAAATGGTGGAGTCATAGTAGCAGTGGTGGGTTCTGCTAGATGTCTCTAAGTTATGACCCGGCTCTGACCTATCCCCTGGATAAGCTTGTTTCCCTCCACTGATGATAGAGGAAGACTAATTTCTTAGATTTATTTGAATAAATTATCTTACAAATGAATTCTCTGTAATGCTGGTGACAAGTGGACTGAACTCCCTGAATCCTCTTAGCCCAACACAGTATCACCCTGTGACTTTGAGCCCAGCACTTCTTCACTTTGAATTGTGCAGCTCAGTGCAGGTTTATCAAAAGCCAAGCACAGCTTAATCGGGGATGGTGGTTGGTTGACTTTGAACACAGACACTGAAACAACTGTTGCTGAACTTGACAAGATGGATAGATACATTGATTAACCTTGCAGTGTAAAGTAATCCTCCTTAGATATTTTAATTCATGACTTAGGTGCGGAATAAAGATAACTGCACTCAGCAGCCTGACCTTTTTGGGTCATGAGCCAGTGCAGATTCCCAAGATAAGGAGGCTTAGAGTTAGAGGGGTTTTGATGTGGGATTTTCAGGATTTTGTTCAGAAGCCTGTGTTGCTTTTCCTCTGAATCACTGCCCCAGTGACCTAGTTGTTGGAGCATGGTGCCTTTGAAAGTGTTGACTTGAATGGTTGTTACTTTATATATGGTAAGAAAAGGACACTTAGCAAGTGTCCAGGCTCTTAACCCTGTAAGGTCTAGCTATATTGACTTTTTTGGTATTTACCTTTACTTTTTGCCTTTTCCACTTTTACGTGGTAAAAATATTTTCCATTTGTTTAAATGTTCATGTAGTATCCATCTTACATGTAGGAAAGCAGTTGCCATTATCTGCTTCTGTGGGTGAAGTTATAGGTATGTTAAAGTACATCTTGATGGTCACACAAAAATTGCTTTCACATTTCCAAGCTAACTAGCTGCCCTCTCATGAAAGTATGCATGCAAAAGATGTAGCTGGAGGGGGAAATGCTATGAAAAAGAATAAAGTAGATGGTTTCTTATAATACTGTGAAGATCCACTCAACTTTGAGAGACCAGCCCTCTTCTCTTTAAGTTCTAATGTGAAAGCTAGAAAGCAAGCAACTCTTACAGGTGGGAAGAAACACTTTTTTGTTTTCCAGAACTGGTGTGAGGCCAAGAAGATGGGAAAAAATTGTACAGTTCTCTTGCTGGCTTGTTGTTCATGAGAAGGGAAGGTTGTACAGTCCTGCTCCACTTTACGATAGTTGCCATCTGTTACACCTGCATGCACTGTTGTTGCTCAGACAGGCCAGAGAGCAGCAGCACAAGGCCTGCCCTATTAAGTAGGACAGCTGCAGCCACAGCAGGATGCCTGCAAACAAGGAAGGTGGCTGGAGAGACAGTGGAGACAGCTTAGGGCCTCAGCTCCAGTACTGGTGCTTCTGTAGTCTGCTAAGGAGTATGTGTGTGTTGGAACGTGGAGAGGAAGAAGGGTGAATAGAGCTGGGCAATTCAAATGCATACTGGTAACTGCAGAATTTTAGAAAACAGGAACTGGAAGGGACATTAGGATGACACCTGCTCTCTTTCACTGTCTCAAGGTGGCGTTGTAAATGCTATCCCATATCATACTGTGTCTAAAACATTTTTTCAGACTCTAAAAAGCTACTTAGAGGTCTGAGATAAGCTTGCAGTTTCGTGATAGCTTTAGCTAATTTTGGAAGTAGCCTAGCATGAGTCTATTCAGTTTAAGGTTCAGTATTCAGACTACCTAAGTACTTGGTAGCCTGTTCTTTGCCTGTAACAGGCTGAACTTGAACTGCTCACTCAGGCTTTATCTGCTAGCGGTCTGCTCACTTTCCATCTTTTTACTGAAGACTGGTACAGCAAAGGTATTAAACACTAGTTTTTCCTGGTACAGCAAAGGTATTAAAAACTAGTTTTTCTTTGAGCATCATCTCTTGAGAGAGCTCTACTCTCTTACGCTCGCTAGCTAAAATTGGAGTAGTATGGACTCCAGTAAAGTATGTACTTGGCTTGCTGATTAACATAACCAAGACTCATAGAAGAAATGAGCAAGATAATGTGTACACTCTTCAGAGAAAGAGTTTGGGTATAATATGCAGGAGTTTTCACCTGGGAAGGTGAGCAGAATATCTGTCTGAAACAGTAATTTGTCCTGGTGTTTCCTTATTATTTTGGACAGGACTTTCAGAGTAGCTTTGATCTGTGATCTGCTTTGATCCTGCTTGTGGTGAGGCTTTTCTTTATTGATTCTTTTCCTGAAAAGGCCCAATCCTGTTAAAAGGACTTGTCTTTTCCCCCTTGTATTTTCTTCTTTCCTTTCTCAGCTGTTTTTATCGTAATGTCACCCTTAGCAAGTCCTGAGCTTGTCTCTGGAGGAATTGCTGTTTCAGTGGGATTGTGTTTGTTATCTGGACTTGGAATCAGGCTCACTGCATTTGGTGGCTGCTCACCTTACCAGGTTTGAGGATATGGGTTTGTTGTGGTTTTTTTAATTTTTATTTTTCCCTGTAGATTTTTGGGGGGTGGAGGAGGTGTCAATACGGTATTGTCAGTAATAGCTACCAAAGATTATTCAGCATCTTGCCATACAGCATGACTGCGCATGACACTGTGCTCCGCAAGTCCATGCTTCCAGTGCCTGCCCTGCCCTTGTGCACCTGCTAAATTCCCAGTGGCACACTTGCAGTCCCCTGAGTTCCTACCTTGTTGTCTCTCTGATATTCACAAGCTGAGTAACAGCATTCACCTGATCAGATTCTCTTGTTTTTAAACAAAAGAAGTTTTGTTTAGGGAACAACTATATTTTAATGTGGTGTTTACTTCAGATTTACAGATTGGTAGGTGAAGGGCACATAAACAAACCGTATGATACAATGAGTCATATTTCCTTAGGAAATCAGGTTGAAAAGTAGTGGCTCAGTGAAACCCCCGAGTCCTCTTACGTGCTGAATAAGTTGCAGAATTTGCAGAAGTTTGTAAAATTACAGCCCAGTAATTAGTTCAGGCTATTACTGCAGCTGTACGTTCTGATATTTGTTCACACAAGCAGCTAGCTAAGTATCTTAACTAGCACTTTTGACATGGAGTAACCCATTTTGTATGCACAATTGCAGCATTTTCACAGTTGTGCTGCGCATATAAATCTTTGAAGTGTATTCTGCAACTCTGAATGGATGCCACTTTCTACTTGTCACTGTTGTGTAAAAGAAACAAACCACCTCCAGTTAACTGAGAATACATTAATAAATGAGAAAGCAGAAATGTGCTGCCGGTGGTTTCCTGAACTGTCAATTATATACTGTTAAGATGTTTTCATGATGTTATTTTCCTCATATTTATTTATATCTATTTATAACTCTAGATTTATAAGTCTCTACACTACCTGCAGTATGTCACTTATGTTGAATTTTTTTTTTCGTTATTTGCAGGTCTGCTATTAAAGCATTGCGTCCTGGTGGATTATTGGTCTATTCTACATGCACTCTCTCAAAGGCAGAAAATAGCGATGTGATAAATCTAGTTCTGAACTCCTACAGTAATGTTGTGCCTGTAGACATAAGTGAAATGGCCAAAGCTGTTTCTCAGGAATTCACTTTTCTCAGTGGTTTGCAACAGCATGAGCTGCTGGTTCTCCCAGAGAAAGGGAGAGCTTGGGGTCCAATGTATGTAGCTAAATTAAAGAAAATGTCGTCCATCTGATCATGCCTGTTAGTTTTTTATAAGGGATATGTGATAGCATATTTGTATATGAACATGTCCAACGTATGTGAATTTAGAGCATTGCAGTTTTGTATCAGCTGCTGCCTACTAAACAGGAAGCTAGGCACTTAGTTTAGCTTACAATACAGAATGTGTCTTCTGCTGTGGACTTGTGGGCCTCTATGAAGTCCTTATGAAGTCAAGGGAGCTTTGCATTATTTTCAAGGTGATGCTCTTAAATGTATTTTTATCCTAGAATAGAGGCCTAATGTGATGAGGTTTTGCATGGCTTTTGTTTCTGTGTTTTTTTAATTACTAATTTGGTTTTAATATAGTATATTTTAAAATAAAAGGTTTCAGTGGTTTGAAGTCATGGAATTCCATTCTCTCTCAAACGTGTCTGGAAATCTGTTTTCCCATACAAACTGATTTGTATGCAGAGTCTGTCATCTTAAGCGCTGACTGTTCCAAGCATTGGCAAAACAGGTTTTGTATTTGCTAAGTTGTTTACTGGTTAAAAACTGTATTTTGTTTACACTTGCAAAGGTCAGCAGCTAGATCAACACTGGTTATCAACACTGGTATTTTCGAGCTTGCAAAAATATAAATTGAGAGAGTAAATTACGTTGAAATGTCCTTAAAACAGTAGATTTAGATGTGTTTAGCTTTGGTATTCAGTTTGTGGCATAATGCAGTGTATCCAGCAGACTCTGGAGCATATATTTGAAACAGAAGCAGATTGATGAATAACTGCAATAATGGCACAATATTCAGAGAGTTTTGCTACGTAAGTACAGTCATGATGAGGAAAACCGACAAGCTGGAGAAGTGGCTTGTCCACTAAGTTAAGAAATGTTACGTGAATTCGTGATGTCATATCTGTGGTTTGTAAAGAAGGAGAGTCCCAGTGAAAACATGTACTGGTGATGTGTTTAGGTTCCCTCAATTCTGCTGCACAATGCTATGGATAAATTTATAGACATAGGTGCACATGTTCATGTGGGTGCACGTGTAAACTGTGTCTTCCTATGTACTGCCTGTGGGTGAGATGTAAAAACTTCTGATCCAGCAGTGATTGAATTATGCCTATGACTGGATCATGTAACGGTGTATATACTAGGTCAAATGATAGTCTTGAAGGAGAATGGAGCCCTTTCATCCCTCTCTGAGCAAAGTCCTTTCCCCAGTTGAAACTTATAATAAGTGACTTTAAGGAACGCTGTTTTAAAGAACAGAGTTGTTGTTTTGTTTTTTTTCTGGTAGAGGAGTTGCTTGTGTGGAAATGTGTATGTGACACTGTACATTTATATATTTCATATGTTTTGTGTGTACATCCCTGTGTATATATGTAATCATAAGTTTTTTGCAATCACAAACAAGACTTCTTAGTGCAGATTTGATTATTTTTCTGAATACGAAAGAATATAAACTTGTAAATACTGGAAAGACTACCAAATTGCTGATTCTGCACCTTGTAAACAAAGCAGGAATAAAGTTGATTGCCCGAGGTCTTCTGTAAGGAGCTCCATGTAACCACGCTGGAAATGCAGTAGTTCTCCATGAGATTCTCCATTTCTTCTGTTGCTGCAAGATCAGAAATACTTGTTACAACTGTGACTGAACTGCCTTTGGTCTCTGAAAATTTCAGCTGACTTTTCACTACCTTTATTCTCTGCTCACTTTGCTACACTGATGAGCCTCGACTCTGCCTTCACACCAGTTTGTCAGTACACCCATGGTCATGGAATAGTCAGCATTTGTCCTCGCTCTGAGCATTGCACCTGCTGGCAAAGTCCTGTCCATAGTATGTAGAGCAATGAGAGGGCAGTGTTCAGAACCATGGCACCTGAAGAAAATCTTAGTTGCCTAAAAGCAGGTGCTGATCGTGAGCAGTAGCTTTGGTTCTTCACACTTCTGTGACTAAGAGGAAGATAAGTTGGGCAGTTTGCCCTCAGAATAGTGTCTTGCTGATGCACCTTTTGCTGAAGGAAATAAATTCATAAGGTACTCTGCCCCTTTGGTGCATGAGCTTCCACATTTATCCTTTCCCCTACTTTGTGATGAAAAATGTTTGAGGTGTCCCCATAGTGTTAAACTGTCAACAGTGTCTCTGAAAACAAGAGGATATAAAATGTATGCAACTTGAGGCACAGAAGTTACTAATGTATGCAGATGATATTGTGTTCCTATGAAAAGACCTAAGAGCATCTGTCCGAGAAAGATTAAATGTAATATCCAGATCTGGAGTCATCTCAGGCTACTGGATGAAATAACAATGCCCTTGTCAAAATGCTTTCCATCAGCTTTATTTGCCCTGTGGAAATTGAAATGGAAAGCCAAAAATGTAACTTACTCAGGGATGGAATTAAAATATGTGGTTAAACTGAATGGTTGAGGAGAACGTGGGCTAGGTAATCACAGAAAGAACAAAGAGGTTCTTGAAAACTGAACTTTGCTCAATCTCAGCATATGGGCGAGACCCTGTGAACTGCATTGCATTAGACCTTATGAGTTAGAATTGTGCAGCAAGGCCTCCTGATGTATGTAAAAGCTGCATTGAGTTCTGCATAAACCTTTGCTGAGCTCCTGGAGTTTCTTTTCAACTAGTCTGAAAATGCACCAAAAAGGGAGGAAAAAATGAGGATAATTAATAAGTGATATTTATTGTGCTTTGTAGCAGATGAATGCTAGGCCAGAAGGCTGCAGGGTTGTTTTGTTCTGTTCTAATCAGTTCTGGCTGGCGACAGGGATTTGGTAAGCATATGCAGAGGGAGAGGGAATGAGAAGCGAAAAGCAGAAAGGGTGGGCGGCATGCCTGTAGAGGTAGGGGGCAAGGTTTGCACATGTGGGGAAGCAGCTTCCACTTAAGGGTACTTCTTGAAAAGGTTTCGTGTCCATTCAGGTACCTCTTAGGTACTTGTGAGATCCTCACATGGCTTCTGCTCACTTTCAGGACAAGGCTGCAATATTTTGCCTTTTTATACCTTTTTCTCATGTCACTAATTTAATTCCTCCACTATGTCCTGCCTCCTCTTTCATGATGGAAATGGGGTAGCAAACAAGTCAGCCTCTCTAACTTAGAGGAAATTGCAGCCCCAGGAAAAAGGAAGGTGAGCAAGATGAGCGAAAAAAAATTTGACCATTTTTGTTGTATTGTGGGGTAGCCAGAGAAATCTGCATGAAGGCAGTTAAGGCAGTGTTTGTGCAACTACTCACAATCGTATTATGCATCGCACACATCAGTGGCAGTATACCTCAGAGACAGTAGAGAGCTCAAATATCATTGTGCTTTTCTGCCATTCCCTTTCCAAACATACAAAAGCAATTTCCCTGTTAGTTTCTGGAGGGGTTGGCACAGTAAGAAATGAAGGCCTTATATTAAGGCAACTTCAGTATTTGCCAAATTTTATCCTTTATTCAGTGACATCTGACACAATTCAATTATGGCTTGTCAAAAGCATTCTCCACTGCGGAACAGAGTGGAAAAACAGATTACACACAAATGGCTGTGGACTGTTACAGTCAACCAGGGACTAACGAACTCTTGGCTTTCTCAGTAAGATGTGCAGAGAGAAGGTGAAGCACGCTGAAAGAAGGTTAAGATGAAAAAAATCAAGACTACAGCAGTGGGAGAAAAATGTGAAATACTGAAGAAGAGATGCCATGGCTTTTAACATGGAAGAGCAGCAATGCTGCACCCTGTGCAGGAAAAGGTCTGCGAGTGCCTGGGTGGTGGTGGAGAGAGAAGAGTTCCTTTGGGGGAGATTTGGGGGAGAGCCACAGTGACCTGTGCTGGGGTGGGAGGATGCCCTTAGTTCATTTGGCTGTCTTAGGAGAAAAATGCCTTTTGAGGACATTAATCATGGAAATTTGGAGGGTATTTAAATTAGCTATGAGCATTTAGACAGAGCATGGCTAACCTGTTTCTTGTGAAATGAATGGCTGTGTCAGTACAGTGTTCCTATAAGAAAAGTTGATTTGAAATTTTTAGAATCTGATCTGGCTTAAATGGTTTGTTCTGTCATAGAATATGGCTTGCTAGTAAGCTGATGTAACTTTATGCAATATTGGCTATAAATTAGACTCTTTCTTCCAGGGGAAACTTGAACAGCATGTACTGGTGTAGTCTCCTGACTTCCAGGTAAAAACTCAATAAAAGTGAAACTTTGAGTCCTCACTTAGCAGTTTGACAGACTTGGATCAGAGAGTACAAGGCATATGCAGTCACTATTCTTAGCTTTTAGATGGTGCTGCTCTGTCCCCATCACATGATTTTTGATTAACAACAGGTTTTTGTAAGACAGATCATAGCAATCATGAAACGTTTGTCAGAAAATGCTTTCATTGGCTGATCTTCCTGTCTGCCTCCTGAGATTTGAGGTTGTGATGGGTTTAGCCCTTGGCTGGGGGCCAAACCATGCACCCACTCACCCAATTCCCCCCCCCCCCCCCCCCGAGGATAGGGGAGAGAATTAAAGGGGTAAAGGGAAAAAAGGACTCGTGGGTTGAGATAAGAACAATAGCAGGGAAATATGTAACTGATAGAGTTCTTGAAAAGTATTTTTCTAATTATCCCAAAGTGAAATAAGATTATAAGAGGAAATTCAGAGTGATGTATCATGTTCTTTGGTAGAGTTTTTTGCTTTGTTGATTTATTTTCTAGGAAAAATCTAACTTGGCTGAGTGTGTGATTAAGGAGCTTGTGGAATAATTCATTACAGGGAGGAGAAGATGCCAGAACATTTGAATGGTGTAAAACTAGTCTGCACACAGGATTAGAAAAGGTACAGGGAGGAATAATTTTGTGTTGGTAGGAAGTAGATTTAATAGTACTTTTTTATCTGTAATTTTTATGGATTCTATGGCTAACCAGGGAAATGTTTAATGTTCCCGATACAGCAGCTGAAGGTAGAAGAAGGAAGATTGACATACCCAGCACTGTTATAATTCATTTCATTACTTCACACAGGGCTTTTATATTGTCACGCCCATAAAGCGCCAGTGTGTGTGCTTATAGCCAATTCATCTTT